AGAGAGAGAGAGAGAGAGAGAGAGAGAGAGAGAGAGAGAGAGAGAGAGAGAGAGAGAGAGGGGGGGGTTAACATGAAAATGAATTGAAACTGGCTAAGGAGGTCTCCGGCACTCCGTTTGCTTCTTGATATTTAATGAGCTTTGTTTCTCTTGTATGGGGTAGAGCTGTTTAATGACTGAAGCTGTTATCCATAGCACGATGTTGCGCGAGTGATCGGCAAAGAACTTGATGAGGTAGGCACTGCTCCAGTTTTAAAGAGAGAAGTGGTCTGGGCTGGCATGGTGGGTGAAAATTGGCAGATTTCTGTACTCTAGGTTTGGGAGCGAAGAGTTTATGTCGTCCAAGAGCGCTAAGGGAGAGCAAGCGTCGGGAGTTAACTCGGGACACGGGCTGCCGTGGTTTCTTACCATGAGCGCAATGCTGCACGAGTGCTAGCCTGCAAAGGACTTGATGAGGCAAAGCCTGTCCAATTTTAAGGGTATATGAGTGCTCTGAGCTGGCATGTTGGGTGCATACCTGCAGTTCTGTGTACTGCAGGTTTGGGAGCAAGGATTGTGTGTGAGTGACGGAATACTACGTGAAGTAAGTGTGGAGCTGATTTGGGACGGGGAGAGGAGTGTTTTGGATTGCATGTAAGATAAAGCCTTGGACGGAGGTGTAAATGATCTGGAAGTTAGCTTTAGGACACGGTAGCATCTCGAAACAGCCACTTGCTGTATGCGTATTGCCTTGGCTACATCCTATACTGTCCTTGAAAGTTATCCTGGTCTGTCACCATGCCGCGCGCTCCGGTTTCCCTCCCTTCGCACATGCAACAGGAGATTGCAACTCTCCGCGAAACTAGGACGAATCTGGAGAAGGAGGTAGAGCAGTACTTGGCTAATATAGCCGCTGAGAAGAAGTTGCAGGAGGAAATAGCTGCTGCAAAGGCGGCAGATGTGGCCCGGTTGGAGGCACTTCTAGCGGAAGCACGTAAAAATGCTGAGGATGCAAAGGTACAGCTCGCAAAGGAGAACACAATGCATGCCGAAGCGGCAGTCCAAGCAAAGAAAGATGCCGCTGCTTGGGTGAGGAAGGAACTGAGTGAGGGAGTTGAGAAGAAGGCTCAGGAAATCATTTCCAACCTTCAGCGGGAGTCCAAGCGACTGGAAACTCTGTCAGCCGAAGATGAGAAGAAGGCAGAATCGACAGAAGTGAAGCAAGCACAGGCAGAGAAGGTTCAAGAGGATGCAGAGGCCAAGCTTGCGGCAGCGAAGAAGGACGCAGAGACAGCAGGAGTTGGAGATCCGGAAGCACTGGAGGCCATGAGAAATAAGGTGGAGGCAGCAACAGCAGCAGCAAATGCTGCAGAAGAAGAGAACCTGTCACTGAAGGAAAAGGCGGAAAGAGTGGCAGAGTTAGAGGCAGAGATCAAGGATTTGAAACAACGGATTGCGAGTGCTCCAAAGATTGATCCGGTAGAGCTGCAGAAACTACGCGATAAGAAGAAACGGATTGAGAGTGTGGATATGGATGAAGTGGAGAGTTTGAGGGAGACGGCAGCGAAACTTCCTGTGTTGGAGGCACGAGTCAAGGAACTCAGGAAAGAGGCAGAGGAAGCCATGAAAGTCGACACGACTGAGAGAGACTCGCTTCGGGAAAAGGTGGCAAAAGGCCAAGTGCCGTTGCCTGTTCCTCCTCCTGTCAACACTGCACAGCTGAAGGAAATTGAGGAACTGAAAGAGCAAGTGGAAAAGCTTCCTGCACTGGAAGCAGAAGCCGCATCACTGAAGAAGCAGATAGAAGCCAAGAATGCGTCAAATGCTGCTGAACTTGAAGAACTGAGAAAGAAGGCACGCGAAAATGCAGTAGCAGCTGCTGCGGCGAATGCAGCAGCTGCAGCGGCCTTGGCCCCCCCGCCGACTGAGTCACCAGAGATTGTGGCACTCCGGACACAGGCGAAGAAGGCAACTGATTTGGAGGCTGAGATTGCCGCTATGAAGCTCCAGGTGGTTAAGTTGACAGGTTTGGAGTTGGAGAATCAGAGGTTGCGTCAGCAAATTGCCTCAAGGCCACCACCCGCAGCGTACACGCCTCCACCTCCTCCAGGATACGGTGGTTATCCGCCTCATCCACCGCCAGCAGGGCAGTGGTACTAGGTGTCGAATTATGACAATATGACCAAATGCAGTTGAAGATCTGTACAAGGGAGTCCATGGGCTGAGGGATGCAACCCAGCGACCGCCAGGAGTAGTGTGCTTCTAGGTGTTGAATCATGACAGGATGACGACATACACCTGAATATCTGTACGTTGGGGGAGTTCGTGGGCGGAGGGACTGGCAGCTTGCCAAGCAGGGAAATCATTGGCAACCAGCACCATCCTGACGCAGGCTGCCCATGGAAGCAGGTACATCGTAAATGTATGCTGCTCGTCACAGTTCACTGCGATTTGGGGAACAGTGACAGTGGGCCTGGTAGTCTTAGCACGTGGCACAAGCTTGGAGCACGGCTGTCTGTCTTGGTTTCTGCTGTGGTGAAGATGAGATCGGTTCATGCTGTCATGATGTCACTTATGAAACATACATACGTCATCAGCTTGATTATGGTCGTGCTTGAGCTGATTTCTGTTGACTACCGGGGTGAGACAACTGTAGATTCTTCTTTTCCTGCAGGATAGGAGTCGCCGCACCACAGGAGTCTTTACTGTTGGTCCTTGTGTCTGCAGGATGCCTATAGTTCTGTTGATTAACCATGCGCAGGGTTGCGTGCACATCTTGGGGATATACGGACACTTTTCCCAGTGCTGCTTTGACTCGTTAAGAGATTAGCAGCTGAGCCCCTCTTGTTTGTAGATCATCGATTGTTGCACAGAGAAGGAAGCACAGTGAAAAGGCTTTCCTCATAAGGTATCTAGCGTATTTATGTCCAGTGCTCCCCAAGGCAGCATTGGTGAACAAGTCTCGCATGGATTATAGGCTGGTTGTACCCTGGAGGGCGGAGCCAAACTCGGCAAACCGAGGTGAAAACCTTTGCAGCAGCAGCACGGCAATACTGTTTTTCATCTGCTGCTCTGGCTTTCAGATACTGCAATGGACAGACATAGCTGATCAAGATCTTAGAAGGAGCATCTATCTAGGCTGATGGCAAGGTCAACTAAGTGAAGATAGAAGACGAAAACCCAGAGGTCTTCTGAGAGAGGTCTGGCTTGCATGTGTGCATGCTGAGGAACCACGGAGCGCCTAAGGCGTCTTCATGGCACAAGGACGACTTGGCGTTCGTGCAGCGGGTGGTTGGTTGCGCAGCGATGCGCCGGCCCCAGCGCACAGTGCTCCTCAGTATACTTTCTGTTCACAAGTTCCAAGCATCCCCAGTTTGCAAGCACACAGCTTTCCCTATTCTCAAGTGAACCATGGTCCTGTTCTGAAGAGGACAGTGGCCCCATTCCAGAGTGCAGAGGTGTCCATTTCGCGAGTGTGCAATATTCCCAGTTCCACGTGTGGAGTTCCCCCATTTCTACCTAAGCGCGGAGTGGTTTGGTTCTGGACTGCAGAGTGACCTAGGAACTCTTAAGACTTGGAGTGGGCTGTCTAAGACGTGGAGTGCCCGTAGGTGTGTTGCGAAAGGACTGCAGATTCGTGTTTTGTGCCCTCGATGGTCCAGCAAGCAAGCGGTTCAGGTATAAATTGGCGGACATCTAGGGAAAGAAATGTGTGAAGAGGGAGAAAGAGAGACCTGTGTGAAGAAGGAGAAAGAGAGAAATGTGTGAAAAGGGAGAAAGAGAGAAATGTGTGAAGATGGAGGTGGTCTTGAAGCCTTAGCCTGCGGGAGCTGATTGGGAGCACTGGTGGCAAGTAGGGGACCGTTCTCGTGCACCCACAACTCGTCAGCAGACTCCTTTTTTTTGTTAAAATGTGAACCTGCACAAGAATGATGGTGCTTAGTAGAGTGATTGTGAATATCGATCTGGGTTTTGGTGGTGCATTAGGTGCGGTTTTGTCGTTCACGCTTGGCTGCAGCATGGTGTGCAGCCTCCTGTTCTGTTTGCCTTCTTTTTCTCCCTGAAGTTTTGCTACCCAGTAGATTGGCTTGGCTGACATGGTGACGTGGTGTACGTCGAGACGGCGATTGCCGATCAGGAAGTCTGTCCCAAGCTAGCTCTTGCTCTTCCGAGGGGTGAAGTGCCACCGATTTCAGTGTTGAACTTCGGAAGTGTCTCTTTTTTTACGTATTGTGTGATCCCGCTTGGGATTTTGACATGTGCGGCAAAAGCCCCATTGAGGCTATGTTCATGCTTAGAAGGCTTGAACCTAGCTGTAATAGCGGGCAAGTTTGAAACTTTGTGCTTTCTTGCCATGAAGATAGCACCCGTGGGGTCTGGCCACCAGAAGACCATTCTGGAGCGTTTTACGGCCGCTCCTTGTATCACCACAATGGTAGTCGGAACAATGTGGGCTTTGGTTCTTACTATATCTTTGTTGGCTCCACTACGCGTGGTAATTTTTGTCGCGAGTTGGCACAGTTCACAGTGACAGGCATCTAATGAAGTGGTAGCTGTGTTGCCTTGTGCCTTTCATTATTACGGCGGAAATCATCGCATCTACATTGCTGGCGTGCGACTTTGTCCTTATTATCAATCAAATAAAGATTCTGTAAGTGTTGTTTGTTTCCTGGAAATTTTGTGCATTGGTATCGACAGAGTTATTTTCTGTTCCCTCTGCCCTTCCGCTTTTGCACTCGGCTTTCAACAAGCGTAGTGGTGAGTATAGCTGTTTGTTTCTGTCAGTTGACAGAGTTAACTTTGTTTTTGTTAGCATGTCCTTGTTGCGTTGGTTTTCAACTTTTTGCCAAGCGTTTTGGTGAGTATAGCTGCTTGTTTCTCTCAATCGGCAGACGGAATCACTGACGCGGCGTTTTGCGGTAAGTCGGCCCAGGGGCATTTGGGACGGACGCTCATGTGACAGAGTCAACTTTGTTTTCAATATCATGTCTTTTTGCGATGACTGTTCACCAAGCGTCTTGGTGAGTATAGCTGCTTGTTTCTCTCGATCGGCAGACCAAATCAGTTTGTTGGGGTTTGATGGTAAGTTGGTGCATGAGCAGTCGGGGCGGACTCTTGTTTGGCATGGACACTGATGATGCCAAGAGGCGCTCTACCATATAGATAGTGATCAGTTGGTGGTAGCAAGCTGCTAAGCTCACAGTTGAGTTGTCCACACTGAAATACTTTTCACTCGGCGCATTGGGTTCCGGACACTTGGAGCTGTTCTCAGATGTGCATGGAAGGAACTTCCAGAAAGACCGGACGATTGGAACTGTGGGGCTTGTGCCGCTGCACTGGAACTGAGCAAGTACTAACAACTTGTGGCTGTAGATTCTTCACATCGATGGCTGCAATGATGTAGTGGCATGCAATTCTAATGCAGTGGAATGAAGCCCTTCAATCTGCGTGCAAGTCGCGGAGGAAGACGGGCTGTTACAAAAGCCACTGCCTGTCGGCTGGCTCCCTGGCCAGGTCTGAGCCTTGTCGCATCCTCCCCTTCAGTTCGAGTGCCCGTGCTTTGCACAGACACCTTGGGACTGAGTTGCACAGCCCCATTCGTACCTCCTTCGGTAACCTGGGAAGTGTGAGTGGCTGGATATGTGTGTAGCGATTATCTCTGCGTTTTCATGATAGAAACTTCCAACTCCCGAGGGTCGTGTCTGTGAATTATTCTATGGCAGAAACTGCACCACGTCTCTTGGCCACCAATGGACGACATGGGTCGCTTGTGTGACGTTCTCTCGATTATTTTCTCGAGTTTGCTCTCTTCAGTATGTTGCCAAATTTGTTCGCATTCACATTATAATATGATTATATGTTTATTATTTGTATTTGTCTGCAAATCAGTGATCAGGGCTTGTAGGCTTGTAGCAAATGTGATTTTTGTAGGCTTGTAGCAAATGTGATTTTTGCGATGGTCACCGGAGTTGTATGTGCCTGTGTTTCCTCTCTCTCTCTCTCTCTCTCTCTCTCTCTCTCTCTCTCTCTCTCTCTCTCTCTCTCTCTCTCTCTCTCTCTCTCTCTCTCTCTCTTTTGCGCACGCACACGTTGTTCTTCCGCCCATTCTTTGCGAAATTGGATTTCGTTTTTTTTTGGGTTAGATTTTGTAATATTTATATTTTTGAAATTTGTGACCCCTACCAGTAGTACCAGCATGAATATGTATTTGATAATATTTTGGTATCGTTTCCACGGTGCTTACCGAATGTGTATATTTGCTTGTGTTTATTTGACTTTATTAATACTGTTGTATTGTGTTTATGTAACTTTTACTGTTATTATATTATGAATTAAATTATTAATTTATTATGTTATTAATAACTGAGCATGTGTTGAATTTGCTGTTGCAGGTTTTCATTCCTGTTTTTTTGGTCCTTTAAAATTCTTTCTGGCAATGCATTTGCTGGGTTTTTGTAGTTTTGAGTTCTTTTAATTCAGGGATGAGCAATTGCTTGAGTGCGACGGCCTTGAGATGTCATCTTCAAGCTGACTGGTCCGGGGTAAATCCAGAGATGTATACTCGTTTGAGTTGAGTGGGATTGGAACTGAGGTCTGTATTTACGCAGTTCATTCGTGTACCGACGGAGCACAGCCCGTTGCTCGACTTCCTGGGATCAACTGCAACCCCATTTGATTTCCCCTGTCCCTGCACTGCTATCTAATTTGTTTGCTTAACGAGTTGTTCAACAACTAACGTCATCATCATTAATCAAAGTTATTAGCGTTTCGAGTATGCAATTTATAATTTTATATTTGATTCTCTTTCCAATGCGTGGACAGCTTGACAACCATGGAGCTTTGCTGCTTGATGTAATGTCTATGAAGTTATATATGTCGTCATAGAGAGCCGCTTGTTGAACCGTAGGCAGAGAGGGAGAAGAGGACGATCTGTCACAACGAGGGGCTGTGACAGAGTGTTTTGTCCGACTTTCGCCTAGTTGTCAGGAGGCTGAACCATCTATAGTCTGCAGAGTCCCTAACCGATGACACTTTAAGTGATAATCCACCTTAACCCCTGATGTGGTTAAGCATCAACGACCGCCCGACAACTGATACCCCTCTGAGGAGGTTGGCACCGACCACTGGCCTGAAGGTACCTGTGACGATAATCAAAGCCGATAAGCACTCACCTGCACCATACAGAAAACTCTACAGACTGCAGTTTCACACCCCATCAGTTACGAATATCGTCATGGAGGATTGTCCTGTGAACAGTAGGCAGAGAGGGAGAAGGGGACAACAACTGAGTGGCTGTAATTTATGCTCATTGTTTTGGACCTGTGTTGCTTTATGTATTGTTTATGAAGTTGACGTTCTAAATGTTAAAGTGAAGAGATTCAACCAAGCGCGGGTAAACGGCGGGAGTAACTATGACTCGCTTAAGGTAGCCAAATGCCTCGTGATCTAGTTGGTGGTACACATCTACTTACCCCTGGCCCGACAGTCATGCCGGTCCAGTTTTAGGGCGCCTTCCTGATCCTAGCCCGGTAGGACCATCGTCGGGGTAGTCCATCTGGCTGCTGGTATATCTCAGGGGACGGTACCTTGTTTCAGAACCTTTTTGACATTTTGACATTGCCCGAGACCATTGAGCCGGACCGTCACATTCAGCTGTTGCTCCCGTCTCTCTCTCTCTCTCTCTCTCTCTCTCTCTCTCTCTCTCTCTCTCTCTCTCTCTCTCTCTCTCTCTCACAC